TTTGGGCCGGGTTGTGCGCAGGATCGGGCCCCCAGCTTCCTTTTGCAGGGGGGTGCCAGGGTGCAGGGGGCTGGGGTCTCCTCCCCTGCGAGGGCAGCTCTGCAGGGCTCCGTGGGTGCTGCAGGTGGCTTGTTTTGGGCTTCCCGATGGGGCTGTGCAGCCGCTCCTGCCCGGCTGCGGGCACAGAGGGCTGTGCCCAGCTTCAGGCCATGATTTCCCGGTGCACAGTCCGTGCGGGGCTGCCTGAGCTTCAGGGAGCAAAGCTGCACCGGCCGGGCAGGGAAGGAGCCCGTGGGGTCCTGAGCCAGCCTGGTGCGTGGGTGCCAGTGGGTGCTGCTCCTTCTCCCCGCTGACAGCAGGCACTTTCTCCCCACGCCGTAGCTGTGTGTCCCTCGGACCTCCAGCAGCTCTGGAAGGAGGTCACGGCCACCCAGCCCGTCGAGGACAGCATTAAGCAAGAAGGTCTCGACCTCACCACCAACACCTCCAACTCTACCTCGTTTTCGGCCGCCAAGGTCTCACCTCCCATTTCCCATCACCCTCTGCCCAATGGACAGAGCACCATGCACACGCCGAGAAGGGACAGGTAGAGCTGGGTCGGGCCCTGGCACTTCGTGTTTTTACCCCCAGAGATGTGGAAGGGGCCGGGATCTGTCGCCCATAATCCAGGCAACAGGACTGGGAGGGCTGGGGGGTTTCTGGCTGCCCCATGAACATGTCCTGTCGCTGTTTTGCTGTGCCCATGGAGGACAGTGAGCTATTGCTGCGGGGTCTTCCATGGGTCCCCAAGGGCTGGCCCCGTGCACGGGAATGCTGGAGCATCACGGCTGCCCCATGTGACAGTCCCTTTCCATCTTCTGCAGCTCTTCCCACGAAGAGACCCCCAGCTCCCACCCGCTCTACGGCCACGGAGAGTGCAAGTGGCCTGGCTGCGAAACCCTCTGTGAGGACTTGGGACAGTTTGTCAAGTAAGTGCTCCCCTTTTTGGGGGGGGCTTCCTGGAGGAGGGCAGAGCCTGTGCTCCCAGGCCGGGACAGCATGGGGCTGGCGGAGCGGGAGACCCTGGAAACGGGTCCAGATACCCCAAAGTCTGTCTGCCCAGAGCCGAGTGGCCCCATGCAAACGGAGAAAACACCAGAGGCTGCTGCTAGAGGGGAAGAGTCCCAATGCAGCGGGCAGGAGCGGGCAGGAGCAGGCAGCAGGCGAGGGGAGTTTGCAGCTCCCCTCCTGGGGGGCGAGAGGAGGGGAGGAAGCAGATGGCGGCGCGGCAGCCCGCTGACACTGCTTGTGGGCTCCGGCGCTGACTGATTAACTCTGCTGTCGAAGAGCCCTCCGCTAGCGTCAGGGTCAAACAAATTGTTTTCACGCTTCGTCAGAGGTTTACTTAATTAGTTCATTTGCAATTAGATCTCTTTGTAGCTGGGATTTTTAGCAAAGACATCAGAAGGAACTGACGGGCTTGCTTGCTCCTTCCCCCCCGCCTCTCCGGCTGTCTGCTCGGTGCAGCGGCCGAGAGGCAGTGGGGCACGCTTTGCTCTCCATCAGCGAGATTTTGGGGTTTTACACACAGATCCCGCACGCTGCCACGCACTCAGGGCCGGCTCCGGTGGGAGCATCCCTCAGACCGCACCGGCCTCCTCGTTCCCAGGGAGGGAGCTGGGCAGAGGCCTTGCCCAGGAGGATGAGGAGGTGCGAAGGCAGCCTGGGGAGGCTGGGGAAGCGTTGCTGGTGGCGACTGAGTGAGTGAACGCGTCGGGCTCCTGCATCCTCCTTCCTCTGCCTCTGACTCACGGGGTGAACCTAGATAAGGCATCTCCTCCCACCTCTCCGGGCATGTTTACATGGCACGGGGCAGATGAGCAAGCTCCGGTTTGGAAGCTGGAGCTGGGGTTGGCATGGCCAGGGCTGGGTCGCGGTGCCGGCGGAGCCTCGCTGTGCCGGCGGGGCTATAGGGTCCCTGCGCCCTGCGTCCCACCTGCCTGTCCCACTAAGCACACCTAGTGCTTGCAGGAGCAAGCTTCCCGAGGGGCAGCCTCCCCAACAGCATGAGTGAAGGGTTTCTGTCCCCTCTCTGCCAACATGAGCACGTGTCGGGGTGTGGGACAGACAGACAGAAAACTTCCAGCTCCAAAGGCTGAGCCCGGCTGCAGCGTGGACCTTGCTTTGAGTCCAAGCACCAGCTTCAAGTCTCCTCTGAGCATCATCTCCGTGGAGTAGCTCGCAAAGCCTCAGCGCTGGGGTGGAAAGGGGCAGCACGTCCTTTGAGCAGTGGTTATAAAAGCCGGTGAGGGTTGGTGGGAGATGTCTCTGCTCCCGCTCAGCACAGCCTAGGCTCTCCATAGCTTTTTCCCTGGAGAAACGGCCGTGCCCTCGGTCTGCGTGCGGGGAGAGGAGCGGGCGGCTCGGTCCAGCCGCAGCCCTGCGGAACGGGGCTGAGACACCGGCGGGGTTTGCTCACACACGGGCTTGGCAGCTGGTCGCAGTTACCTAACTTGTTTGTGCAAGTTGGGGCTGGAAGTCTCTCGCAAGGAGCCGGGTGAGACTCACGACATCCTCTGCATCCAGACTGAGGGTAGATAGTCCTGAGGCACCTTCTCCTGGGATTTCTCAGCAGAAAGGTCTCAGCCTTGGTCCTGGAGAGCACTGGCCCACAGCCCTGGGACACCACTCTGTTTCCCAGCATCAGATGCCGCCTTTCGGGGTGTTCCTGGGGTGGCCCTGGTACAGTTTGCCCTGCCGCCCAGCATCCCCGCTCTGACCTGTCCCACTGCTCTGGTGAGGAGCCCCCCGGGTTTGCACCCACCCCAGCAAGGACGTGGACTGGCCATGCGACGTCTTTGGGGCTGGGTGCATCCCCAGGGTGCCGCTTTGCTGGGTCCGGGAGCGAGGGGCCCCACAAGGCGATGCCGGGATGTCCCTGACTTGGCAGCAAGTGGTGTCCCCATCACTGGCTGCTGGCCTCTGCCAGGAGCCCTTCCCCTCCCCGAGAAGGAGGGAGGGTGGGAAGGACCAGAGGTCCTTGTGCTTTATAAACATAAAGTGCCTTATATTTATAAGACATGAAAGCAGTAGGATGAGGAGCACCCTGGAAATGTCACCTTCTGCCTTCGGGGGTTTCCTTAAAGGGTGTAAGTAAACCTCCATAATGCCACCTTTGTCCTGGAAACCTGCTCTTCAGGTCCTCCTGCCAGCAGCCTTCTCAAGGACTTCCCATCAACCAGTGGCTGCTCCTAAACACCATGAGGCTGCACTGGGCAGGGCTGGTGGTCTACGGCCACCCTCCAGTCCGGGTTCAGGGCTGAGGCACAGCCCAATTTGCTTGGCCGTCTTTGTGCCTCAGTTTCCCTTCTGCTCACGCTTGGGCAGCAGCGCCGGAGCATCCCCGGCACGGGCAGCGCCTCACGGGCGTCTCCGGGCGTTGCTGCAGTACGGGCTGTTTGCAGGTCGGGGCTGATCCCAGGTGTGGCCCCAGCAGAGGGGGCCGCATTTCAGGCACGTCCAGGAGTAAATCCCCGTGTTCTCCTCCCCAGACACCTCAATACAGAACATGCACTTGACGACCGAAGCACAGCCCAGTGCCGAGTCCAGATGCAAGTGGTACAGCAGCTGGAAATACAGGTGGGTACCGGCCCCGCCTCGAAGGACGCACGTTTAAACAGCCGCCTCCTTTCCGACTCGGTGTGCCATGTCTTGGCTGCTCTCTGCAGGAGGGGAGTAGCGAGGCTGGGGACCACTAGCGAGATCACTAGCCCCCCCAGTGTCACGGGGGCTCATTTTAAGCATCCTTCCCAAATAGAGGTGCTGCCTCTGGCCAGGCAACGGTCCTGATCAAGACCTGGAGGACCCTCCAGCCAGTTCCCCCTCTAATACCAGCATCCTTGCACGATTATGATGGGACTGGAAGAAAGGACAAGCTGTCCCTCCTGCCCAGAGCATCCCTGTGGGTACGAGGAGATGCCACGGACCTGGAAGGCACATGCTGCCTGGGGGGGATGCATGCCCACAGGCAGGACGTGAGCGGTGCCCAGAAAACGGGGGGCGGCCCCCAGCTCCGGCCCCCAGCCGTTCCGCTGCAGCGAGAGCCACAGGGCTGCTGGGCCCTTTGGAAATCAGGCCACTTATTTTGGTGGCTGAGCTTGGTCTTTGGAGCCCAGCTTCGGGGTGCTATTTTTGGAAAGGCAGTTGTTTAAATAGTGCCTTTCCCAGCATCTCTGACTCCCCGATGTGCCGTGCATAATTCGGTTAATAGAGAAGCGAGGGGGAAAAAGAGGAGGAAACGGGGTTTTCATCTTCGGACTTGAAAGCCATCGAGGGGGAAGATGGGACGGGGCAGGGGTCTGTCGGGCGGTGCCGGGGTGCCCGGCTGTTCGGCCAGGGGCT